TTGGTCTTTTGAAGGGTTGAGGGTAGGGGGTATCTTGCAATTCAAAGGGGCATGGGATTTTTAGGGACATGAGTGCTGGGATTTGATTCGTCAGGGTTGGGGTCTCGTTGCTCATTTCTTCCCTTTGCCTAACGATCTTCCTTGATCTTCCATTTTTCGTGTTTGATGGTTGTGGGGCCGATGGTCCCAACCGTTTCAACAAAACTTCATTTTTAACCTTTTCTTCCTGTCCTCCTATTAACCTACTTTCTTCAGTTTCTCTGTTTTCTCCTATTACTCTATTCTTCATAATTTTTTCCTACGGGGACGGGGGTAAGGAATATCTGGGGATGGGTTGCCCAACGGTGGCGAAAAAAGAGTAACTTAAACCTAACTTAACCTAGGACAAATAAGCTGTATTAATTAGGGGGCAGGGGGGGGGGGCGCAAGATTCTGCCTCGTCACAGTATTTAACATCGAAAAAATGACGAAAATAACTGGCAGAGAAGGACGTGAAGAGAGTGGCCGAAGAATAAGCCGTCCAAGAAAAAGATTGAGGCCGCAGGCGCGCTCGACCGACTCCTCTCGGATCAGCAAGGCGGACGAGCGAGCTGCTCGCGAGACCAAAGGAGGCAGAGTTTTACGCAGACAGGAGCAAAAAGATGCCTTAGATAACCTGGATGATAGTAATGTACTGTATGGACCTGGCATCGATGATGACATGTACGTATTTTATTTAAAAATCCAGGTTTTTTCATCTTCATTTTTTCAGTGTACAAAGCTTTAAATCGATTTTCCCAAATATGTCATTTTTAAAGTCGGTGACCAGCCTACAGAAAAAACTACTGCATCGATCGTTTCGAAATTTTGTACAAATATTCTAGATATATATAGCTCTCGAATGACGTCGAGTTTTTCCAAAAATTTTAATTATTAACAATTTTACAATAACAAATAGGTCGATTTTTTCGTCTAAAATCGTTATTTTGGCTTGAAAATGGTACCAAAAATTGAAAAATTGAAAAATTAAAAAAATACTCGACGTCAATTGGAAGATAAACTAATAAACTAAAGAAAGCATTTTGCTTTTTTGGTTTCAGATGATCCAGTGATGCTGTAGGCTAGTCACTGCACAAAAACTTCTTATCGAGGTGCCTGCAGAGATCGACGATAAATCCGTTATTCCTCCCTATTTTTCGATGAAACTTTTTTTAAGTATCCTTCAAATGTTGTACTTTCATATAATAATAAGTAAAATACACCTACAGCAATAATTTTTTCTAAAAAAATTCATGAAAAAAGGTCTTTTTTCGACGAAACAAACCTTACCCACCCCTTAATGTCTGGCCCATAACTGGGCCGTATCGTGGATGATAACTCGGGCCCAGTCAAGGGACGCTAGAATGGCCCAACGCATACAGCCATTACTGGCCCAATGACTATTTCCCGAATAACTAACCATTCGATTGTTGCCAAGACTGGCCCCATTATAGTCTCAATATTGGTCCTACTGTCACTATTAGGAAAGGCCCAGTCGTTCCTACCAAGCCTTGTCTGATAATGGCTAGCCAGATATGTTACTTATAGAATAGAATAATATTTGTTTTTTAATATGAGTTTTTATTGATAGTTAAAGTACAAAGAGTAAACAATTGGACATTCAGAAAAAAAGAACGAGAAAACTCGAACACAAATTGACACATTTTTAAAGAATATATCAAGAACATAAAAAGAAAAACCTTCGAATCAATATTATTCAAATCATTCCCAGAATTCGAACATAAGAAAACCGAAGAAAACAAAAATAAAATTCTGAACGTTGAAAGAATATTATCCGTCCTCCATATCAGTAATATATCTCAACATTATTAAAAATATATGAAAAAAAAACATTCGGTTATTTCTGTCGAAAATATTTGCAATAAATGAAAACATTTTTTCTATTATAATCAATAAATCTAAAGCTATGGAAGGAATAAGAAACAAAGTTTCATTCTTGAAAACAAAAAAAAAATAACCACACTTTAGTCTATTTGCTCAGGTGGAAGATCATCTCGTCTCTCCAGAAGCTTCAGCTTCATCTTCTTCTTTTCCTCACGCTCTTTACGTCCTCCACTTCGATCTGGTGCTCCAGACAACCATGTGCTAATCGTCGATTGGATAGACTTCTCCTCAACAGTGCCTTGAAATTTTCGGATAATAGCAGCTTTCAAAATTTCGCACGTCTTGGTGACTTTAAAACTACGTTTAGCTTGACCATGGATTTCTCTTCCAGACCCAGAATACTCCAAAGCCACTGCTTTCCCTATCGTGCTTTCCATGAGTTTTACAACACCATTCTTTAATAAAGCAATGCTGTAAGTGATATTGGAGTGTAGCATCAGCTGTAAAAAAAAGATTGAAGTCACCAATTTCAAGATTATTGTGGTAAAATGAAAATTACTTGCATGCATTTTGCGTTTCCTGCTCTTTTAATGTTTCGTCCATTGCAAGAAAATCTTCAAGTGACTGAACCGGCAATTTAGTCCTGAATTTTTTTGTTACTTGATCGTTAATAGCATTGGGTATTTTGGGAATATTAGTCTGTAGTATGGTAATTTTTAGCTCTTCTATCTTGTGAGAAATGTCATGCAGTATACTGGTCTTAGCCGTGATAATTTCATCACTTATTATCTTTTGCATATCTTGAAGAAGTCGTCCTGGAAATTAATATGTGCATTGTGATTTTTCCGCATATATTTTAAAAATTTTACTCACTATAGGATCCACTTCCATCGTTGTCCACTTCTATTAAAGCTCTCATATTGGCGGCCACAGCTGGGGTCTGCCTCACATGGTGTGAAGACTCCTTCAGTTCTTCTGCGAATTCATGAAATGGAAATGTAGTATACTAATGAATTATGCTGAAAATGCGCGAATGATGAACAATGATAAAAAAAAATTAACATAAGTTCCCTTACTAGCGTTTTCTTTTTCATCAGTGTTATATCTCGTCAAGGTCTTGGGTGTCTCTGCTTCCGGCGAAGAAATCTTTCTGGGTGCTTCCTGAATCATTAGTGCTTGCGAACTCGATTATTGCAGATACTTTCTTGTGTTTTTTTGAATTTTTATTCTTGAAAGGCCCAGAATGTTCAACGTTACTGTCACTGGTACTGTCATCGATCTGCGATTTTCCAGATAGTTTATCTAAATTTTTAATCGTGTCTAAACCTGATGTGGATCTGAATGCATTCAGTAATAGAACGCGTTGTGGTTCACATTGCTTATCAGATATTAATTTGCGGCGATTCCGCATTTCTGTGTCTGTCGACTCAATATTCTGTGTTCTTTGTGATTTGTTCAAGCGTCATTCAGCTTGCTATAAATCAACTATGAACGTAGAAAATATTCAATTAGAAGTTTAACAGATATAATTTCATATTCTCTACTTGACAATCTCAGTTTGAAACAAAATCTCATATCATTAGAGCTGACAATAAAAATCCCTTCAAAACTTTTGAAACCTCAATTTCTGAAAGATACAGCCTAAATCATCATACATATCAAAAACGTTCTAGGTTCGATTCATATTCTCCAATAATATCTCTGCACTCAGTTATTTCTGGGAAAGAACTCAGGAGATTATTCTCAGAACTGAACAAATTGTTTTTAGGGAAGAACTTTTAACATTGCCTAAAAATTGAGATGAAATGGTTCACACTTCTCTCCTTACAAGCAATGCCTAGGAAATCCATTGGATATTCTTTCCAATTGTTCTTTGGTTCTACCAAGTACTTTGAGAATTTTTCTCTTTTGCTGAAACAATTGTTGGGAAAATATCTAACTGTGTAACAATTATGATGCGATTTTTTGATCCACGGTCTTGCTGCAATATCTACCACTTCTTTCCCGTCACTATCAAATTCATGCAAAAATCGCACAATGCCATATTTCACATCTGGATTGTCGTGAAACTCCTAAAAATGTAGGTCAAAATTTTGAATCTCATAACTAACCACGGTGAGCAGAAAATAAGTATATAAAAATCCATGTTTTTTTTTGCCTGGGTGCGTTTCACGCCATCAGCCATCATGCAGATTTTTAGGTTATTTTATAAACTAGTTGTACTATGCCGCTGAAGTTCAATAAATGTCTATGATGTTTTTTTTCAACATTGATTAAAAATTGCAAGTTTAAGTCAAACTTAAATTAAAGCTTATCAATAAAAATATTCACAGCGAGTGGGGGCGTCACACCAAGCGAGAATGTGCCGGGTTTACATATCCACGTGCACACTTGTTGCACTGAACTTGCTCACTCGGTCGTTGAGATGCGTGACGATGTCAATTGACCGTTTTAAATTTCGAATAGTATCCTTGAAATTACGGTTTTTATTTATTTGTTTTGGTATAGCTTATAATCTACACTGACATCATTATTCACAATAATTATTGAGACGCGGTATCTTCAAGTCCAGAATGCGGCCATCTTAGTAAAAATAGCCAAAGGGAGGTTGCAACGCGTAACAACGTGGCGGCGCACGAAACAAATTTCAGTCTGACATGATTGTTGTCGTATATTATTATTTTTCAATTAAATTAACAAACACTGGTTTATACTTCAATGTATGCACATTCGCTTATGGGATAGGGAGATCGCGAATTGTTTGCCATGAATATGCAATAACACACACTTGGATTGAATGTTTTTTAGAGGAATTAATTGTTCTCTGTCTGAAACCGCGGTTACTTCCACAACGGCCACATCATAGGAGGAAGTTGGACTGGTAAAAACTTCGACTTGAATACTGTCAATACAGCCAAGTACAAATAATGACGAGATGTCTGGAGCACTATTGTGGTCTGAAATAAGTGAGAGAATTTTTTTTATCACCGCGATTTTACCGTCTTTTAAAGCAATTGTATTGTTGGGATGCTTTTACGTCAATGTACTATTATTAAATACTATTTTGGTCACTTCGCTGTATTGTTTTCTATCCACTTCGAAAATCTTTGCTCCTTCTGAGTGAAATATCAGCCTTTGGGGTGATATTTCACTCAGAAGGAGCAAAGATTTTCGAAGTTGCACTGAGGTAAATTATAGGTCCTTACGTGATCAGGTACATGGATTAAGTTATGGAGACTTAATACCTGAGAATCAGATTCATATAATATTCTCGGTTGGTGGAAGAAAGTTCTTAACAAATATTCAGCATAGTCGATGTTAGTCTGGCTGAGATTTCCACCGATGAGAATACGACATGCCATAAAAAGCAGTAAGTAATGCTGGTAGTGATCTTTGGGGACGATGTCGTGAAAAATGGAAGGTCCACATAGTGCACGAGAAATCTATACTGCGTTTTTTCCAACTAGAATAGAACCTGAAGTCAAACCTTTTTCTTTGAAATTCCGCAGGAATATCAGCTGCAATCGCGTCTAGGGAACGTTTCAGTACTCTCGTAAGTTTTACCGTAATTTTTGCACAATTTTTAAGTGACAGCCACTTCACCAAGAGCCATTTCTGGACTCCACTATACCACAGGTGCATAACGTCTAAAACAACGCATCTCACTTGATCAAACTGTGTTGATCGCTGTTCTGGATGATGATGCAAAGGTTGATGGCCAAGGTTGAATGATTCTCCCGTTCGTTTTGGAGCATGCATTTCTGGATAGACTCGTTTTGAACCTTTTTTTGACGTTTTAATGGATATGCCCTTCGTCTCACATCTTTCACATGCATAGAAAGTTCTTGGAGATTTGATGCACTTAATGAAAGCACGTGCAGGGGAATCGGCTATAACACCTAAAAATTTGACGGTATAGTGCTTTCCATGTAAATTAACGCCTTGTTTTGTCAAAGTTGAAATTTCAGTAATAAAATCGTGCATGTAAACATCAGCTGATAGGGGCTTGGCATCACCACAGTAGATTCCCACAATAAATGGCTTGGTGACGTAATTTTGATGACGAATTTTAACGGCAATCGGCCACACTGTTTTGGCGGAATTTTCGTATATCTGCATCCCATTGATGTGAACAAAAACTGCAATTTCATCTTCTATGTAAACATTCGGGAGATTGCTTTCTCCAGGCCATTTTTTATGCCTAACCAGTGATATTCTCTTTCAAGATATTGTTGCTCATCTTCAGACCATAAAGCACTTGCCATTGACATAATTTTCCTACTATGGGTAGTACCAATAAGAGTCTGAGCTGATTTAGGTAGATCCTGATGATATTCTCTTAATATCACCAATAATTCTGAGACTCCACTTAACCTTAAACTATTAAGATTGCGTAAAACCCATTGTTTAAGTTTCTCCCTTAGCCTAATGTTCTGATTAACAGTACTTGGTGTTACCGTAAAATTTCCTGAAACCTCCTCATTTCTCTCTACTGTAGGCACAGGATACTCTTCATCTTTTGACAAGGACAAGTTTTCAAGGGAAGGGTTATGTAACTCAGAGTTGATTTCACTTTCTGCACCAATATTGCTTGAATTATTCGCAATTAGTTGTGATGACGTACAGTCAATCTCATGATCGTTATTTGCAATCACCCCCGAAATATTTTCAGAATAACTGACGGCCAATTTTTTTTTTCAAAATTCGGTGCTTTTTGACCCGATAATACCTTGAAGACATTTTTTATCCGTACTGGAATGCTTGACAGATGCCACTCAACTGGTTGTCGGCAATATAATCATATTCAAACTTGTGGCGCTCTGGTTTTTCGTTCGTCTTTTGTTTTTTCAATGGATTAAAAAAAAACACATTATTAAATAAAATTGAAAAAACACTGTTTCATGTCAGCCTTTTCACCTCAAGTTCCACAAATCCCGCCCGTATTGTGAAAATTCGTTTTGTCAGTAAAAAAATCGGAACATTAAAAAACATGAGTGAGATTAAAAAAAATTAGATTGATATGTACATAAAGTGATGAAGACTTCGGCGTTTTGAGGTTTTCCTTGAAAAAATCAATCGAACTAGTATCAAAAATTGATTGAGAATTAGAATATTAGTGTTTAATTGGCTAACAATTGTTATAACATTGGGTCAAAGATTTTTTTACTGATCTACAAATGGCCAACATTCGGCCACTCATTGGCCAAGGAAGTGGCGATCGATGTTTGATTTGCCATGAGTTATCGAAGTTTGGGGCCAGCCATGCCCTACTAATTTTCAGGCAGCCACCATTGGGTCGAGCATTGGCTGAGCAATGGACTACATTTATCTGGTACATAATTGGCTCACGAAGTGCTGAACTAGAAAAACTCTGCCAATTTTCAGTTAATCAACTCTGGGCCAAGTGTTGGCCGAGCAATGCAGCTCCAGTCTCTGGTTCGCCATTACTTGACAGGCATTGAGCCATTGATGTTCTACCAATGCTTCGAGGTCCAACTGTTAGCCAAGCGTTGGCCCGAGATTGGCATACTGATGCTTGGCTCACCAATACTCTGTCAAGACTCGGCTATCAATTGGTTAATTATTAATTGAAAACCAATCTGGGGTCATGCATTGGCCCATGTTTGGTGAGCCAATTATATGAACGCCACGACTCAGCCAAGCCTCGGCCTAAGTAACTACGCTTGGCAAATCCTACTTGGGTTTACGGAACATCACCTGCTGGAGATACTCGAGTAGCTTGTGCTATAAGTAAAAAAAACAACGGAGAGAAGTATATCACAGATGTTATTAATCAATTAACGTTATCTCCAGGTAAATATACTCTCAAATACAATCACAAGATTGATTCATTTTCAGAAAAAAGGTACCAAAAAACCTCATCACGTCATTGTAAATTAAATCGCTTATTTAAAAAAAAACGAAAGACGGAAATAAGAAATAGAAATGAACTTGCTGAGGGAACAACGTATCAATCGAATATAGAACTCCTTCAAAATTTTGAGATACCTCTTCCTATCGCCGTTGTAAATAAAAATACTGAACCAATTTTGGTTTTTTTTTTACTTAGAAACCGGTGGTTTTGCAAATACTGCTGATCTACTGCAAATAGCAGCGAAATATGCTGACTACGAGTTTTCCATTTACATAAAAACTACACAGAAAATTACAGAAAGCGCAAGTATCGTGAATGGATTGCGAATTATCGACGGAAATTTACACTCAATATATATATATTGTAACGTGACATTTCCCCGGGGAATGGAAAATGCCCATTACCTTCGCCCTACTTGCCCTGAGCCTAATAAAACCTGCTAAAATTTAACCAAATGGGCGCCAAGTAATCTTTAACCGGAATTACCAAACCGGAAATTTCTGTAAACCTAAACTTAACTAACCTTGAAATTCATGGTATCGAAAATCGTACCTCAAACTCCTAAAGCTCTAACTCCAAAATATACCCTAAAATCAAAAAGGAAACCTGAAGGGAACGGAAAGGATAATTAGGCTTTTGGGGAAAGGTGACGGTCCTGGGGTCGCTCAGTATGCCAGTTGTGGAGAGAGGGGTGGATCATAGATGGGGGCAAGGTTACTGCAAAAATCGGGAAAAATACCAAAAAGAAAGGAAACGGGAGGCGAGAAATAAATTAATGCAATCAAACATTGTCCTTACGTATTCCGCTGTTAACGTCAAAATTCAGTACAAGAGTAATAAATGATAAAAAATTGTATTATACCAATCTGCTTCCGAATCTCACTAGCCATTTTTAATTTCCTCTAAATATTACGTTCCAGCTAAAAATCTCCAAATCCAAATTTAATTCTCCTTTTCAGTTATCGCGAAATAGGTATTTTCTAACAAAAACCCAAATAAAACTTCAACTGCCTCCTTAAATCGCCGCGAACATAAATTATTTAACAAATACCGAATATATTGCTGAATATCCCACACCAGCATCCAATAATCTCATCGGAATGCGGCCTCAAGGATTATCGATTGGCGATAATCCGAGGAATAACCGAAATATTATTTCCGCCCGGGAAATCGATAATTTCCCGGAATCGGACCCTCTACGAGTGAGCGCGAGCGAGAGAGAGAGCGAGAGAGACGGCACTATGCCTCGCTGCTCGGTTAGCAGAGAGGAGAAATACACAAAAAAATTCCAACTTCACCTTAAATTCGATAACTCGAAATCTGCTCAGCAGATTCCGGAAAACCCTTGACCATCTGGTCCGGGACATCATTCCCCACACTCCCACAAAAGT